CATCCCGCTCAAGAGGCCAGCTACATCCATCACAGAGTGGTCAGCTATATCCCACACAGGGTGGTCAGCTACATCCAGCTCAAGAGGCCAGCTACATCCCGCCCAGGGTGGTCAGCTACATCCCGCCCAGGGTGGTCAGCTACAGCCCGCCCAAGAGGCCAGCTACATCCCAGGGTGGTCAGCTACAGCCCCCTCAAGAGGCCAGCTACATCCCTCACAGAGTGGTCGGGTATATCCCACACAGGGTGGTCAGCTACATCCCGCTCAAGGGGCCAGCCTCATCCCGCACAGGGTTGTCAACTACACCCAGCACAGGATGGTCAACTACATCCCAAATCCCTCACAACTGCAAATTAGCCTTGTAGCACTACGTGGAAATACCCGAAACGCCAATCACGTGTGTACCAGAGGTGCTGTTTTCTGGAAGTTCTTGTACAAAGTCCATTCCAAACACTGAGGATGGACCGGCTGTCGCCCAAAAAGTGTCCAAAGGAGCAGGTTATCCAGGAATTTCGATATTTTGTCAAATGATGCCTTCTAAAACCAATAGCCCCAGTCACTACTCGCATCGTTCCATTTCCTCACACGAATCGAATACAAAGAAAGAAACTGATTGTGGGTAAGTAATGTGTATCTGTATAAAAGGAGATTAGATGCGCACCGATGTGCGACACGACCGAATGACATCAGCTGTAAAATATAAAATTCTTCAGATTTGTGACCCTGTTCGTCCAGTCTCCAAATTAGAGCTCGAAAATGTTTGGAATTAAAAACAAATTTAATCAGCACATCTGGTCTGTACCTAGGCAAGGGTGCAGGTTCCCCATTTCGTTGCGAGGAGTCTACAACTTTATGTCTATCGGGCAGCATCTTTGAGACGTAAGGAGATAAAATCAAGGGAAAAATTCGCTTCTGACTTATTTTGGTGGTAGATTCAGTCATATTTTCATACTCAGCCACCCAACTTTAAGCTAATCTACAAAACTACACCTCTTTAAGCGTCCACACACGCAGGAGCGTGCCAGTTTACGCAGGTAATGAAAGCTTAGAAATCTTCAGGGCGCCATGTGCATCACTGAGATTAAAATAAATATTAGGCCGCTGCTGGTAATGCTACACCGACGCTAACTCTTCGCGGAACACCCAAGCCGGGGGGGGGGGGGGGGGGGGGGGGGGGAACACTCATTGCGGGGAGGAACGTTGCACGGGCAATATATCTTGGATGGAGATCTATACAGCCTAACAGTTTACATATGTTAGCTGAGATCAGCTTCATACCGCTGACACACGAGTTAACGTTACGTCACTGGTGGCGGCGCTAACAGCGCCGACGGCGTCACCTCTTTGCGTTATGAGGCAAGCGGGATTTCTTGTCTAAACAGCTACATGGAGAGTGTATGTCTGTCTGTCTGCGTGTGAGCATTTCTAGCCAGACACTGCACAGACGGTTGCCCAAATTGCGTTGAGCTTTCCACACTTCTGAACCTTGGTTGAGCTTTTATGCCCACTCACGGCATAACTTCACGCCTGACCGATGCCGTTGTCGGTCACATCGCGCGGAGGGGGTATGTTTTCCCATGGAGCAGGGAGACGCTTTTCGTACATGCAAGGTAAGCGTGGGGGAAACAAGCTGTGCAGAGACCAAGCCCACGGCTGCACAACCTACCCGTCATGTCGTCTAGCCCACGGTTATTGGGTCTAGCTGAGCCGTCAAAGATATGCAATATAACTCGAGCAAAAATGATTATAGCGTGCCCACACGCAGGGGACTGCTTATTGACGCAGCACTGAACGCTCAGAAAACCAATCAGGTGCTGCTGTGCATATTGTGATGCGGGCCGATGTTATGTGGCTGGAGGCGGTGCTGTACCCTCGCCAAGGGTGGCGGCGCGGACGGCATGTACTGCAATTCAAGATAATTACGGGGAGCAGTATGAACCCTCAAGGCGATAAGTTAGCATGCTGAAATATCAAGCCTTCTATGGCAAACGAAGTAGGCGAGCAATAATTCTTTCCAAGGCACACTTTCTCTGAAGTGCCCTGACAGCAATTCAGAAGATCTCTGGCTCACGCCCGAAACACAAGTACCGAACTCACATGCCTGAGAAACGTGGTGAAATTGTAGGAAGTTTTATTTATGGCTTCGTTCCTTGCTGTACGACAGCCAGCCCTCCCACCAAATACCTCCCAAATATTACCAAGACATGAACCGTGACGCCAAAGAGTCACGTACCCGACATTCTTACTGGCAATTGCGATCATCAGCAGGAGTCCTACGGCATCTGTCGGCCGCACTCACCACGGGTAAACTATTGTGCTGCGTTGGTGGAACCCTTACAGTTCCACCAACGTTCCCCGTTCAAATGACGAGCCATACAAGAGCTTGACATTATGTTAGTGGCCGATGTCCCGATTTCTTCCAGCGTTCACGCTCAGCGCGTTTCACATGACTTCCTTCTCTATCATAAGTTCAAGAAGGATTGTTCCTCACCGTTTAACCCAGTCGTCCCGAAATTTGTAACTTTTCAACGTTCTTTTCCCCAGTCCTCATGTTACATTCTTGCTTGACATCGTCCTCTCGCCTTAGAGCTAAGTCCGGCGATATAGTTCCCACATATCAGGCGTTTTCTTCTTGCTTTACACTCTCCCCCGACTTCACGCTACCCTGCTTCACACTCTCACGTGATGACTTCACACTACCTTGCTTTACGCTCTCGCTTGATTTAACGCCACCCTGCTTCGCACTTTCGCGTGATGACTTCACGCTTGCTTGCTTTACGCTCTCGCTTGACTTAGTGCCACCTTGCTTCACACTCTCCTTTGATTTACTATCACTTTGCTTCACACTCTCGTTTGACTTGCCGCTCCCTTGCTTCACACTCTCGCTTGATTTGACGCTACCTTGCTTTGCACTCTCGCGCGATGACTTCACGCTCGCTTGCTTTACGCTGTCGCTCGACTTCACGCCACCTTGCTTCACACTCTCGCTTGACTTAACATCACCCTGCTTCACACTCTCGCTTGATTTTACGCTACCTTGCTTCACACTCTCGCTTGATTTGACGCTACCTTGCTTCACACTCTCGCTTGACTTACCATCACCTTGCTTCACACTTTCGCTTGACTTGACATTACCTTGTTTAACGCTCTCGCTTGACTTAACACTACCTTGTTTCACACTCTCGCTTGACTTCTGGCTACCTTGTTTCACACTCTCGCTTGACCTCTGGCTGCCCTGCTTCACGCTCTCTCGCGACGACTTACCGCTGCCTTGCTTAACACTCTCGCTTGACTTAACGGTGCCCTGCTCCGCACTAGCGGTACCCGCTTCAGCCGGAGGTGCGGCATCACCATCAGCCGGAGCCGCGGCATCACCGTCAGCTGGCGCTGCGGCCCCTTCTTCGCCCTCATCGGGCTTTGTTTCCGAAGCATCTGTAGCCGGAGCACCGCCCGCATCTGCCTCTCCCTCAGGTTTCTCTGCTCCCTCTTCATCGCCGGCTTTCTCTTCGTCAGCCTTACCCTCGTCCTCCTCTTCATCCTCGCCCTCTTCCTCCTCCTCCTCGCCCTCTTCCTCTCCCTCTTCTTCGGCCTCATCTCCGGCGCCCTGAAAAATAAGCTCAGATTGGTTCTCTAATAAGCGTATATGATTATCAACTGATTTTTTTCAGTGTTGCCTCGGAAGTGGCATTCCCCCAGCTTTAATCAGAGAATACGGCTGTGAATGAGGCCGAAGACTTACGAAATGACCATGCCGTGCCGTACCAGGCACTCTTGTTGGACCTTTCTATTTAGAACGTTTCCAATCGGTGATTTTACCCTGACATCGGTGACAGACCTTGTGGCTAGATAAAGGGTAGCTGCTGAGCCACCTATGTAGATCAAAGGCCAGCTGTGCGCGCGTGGACGCACCCTTGAACCGATGGATCAGCACTCCTGCCACGCTCAAAGCTGTCTCACTTTAGTCGCCAAGTTTTATACCGGCGTAATTTAAACTACTATTGTTGCATCGCACGAGCTATCATTGCTCTATTGCGTTGCCATCACTAATAGCAACGCCAGCGACTGGTGCAAGCATGCGCTGGCCGCTCATGGCTGGGCTGACGAATACAAAGCTCGCCGAGCGGCGAAAGCCAAGCATTGCACAAAACTGAGAGCTATGGCGAGCGATGCCTCGGCCCAGTTGTAGTGACGTTGCTGTGACCGACTGATGCACGTTGCTGACAGTCAAATAACACAGAAATAGCGCCGAAATAAAAAATTCAAATGCTCGTGAGGAACATGCCATCACGGAAACACATACAAGGCAACCACGATAAGAAGCCAAAACGCAAGCACACATCGCTTGCACGTCCAATTCCCTCACGTAAACTAACAACGCCGCCTTGTGGCGCGTAGAAGTACCACAAGTGAGTCACGCCGACCACTTCAGTGGCAGCTCTAATGGGTAACTAGTGTTAGGCAATAATTATTGACGACTTTCACGTCATAAAACGTCCCATGACGTAATCAAGCGATAACGCATGAGGAGCACATCAACTTAGCTGTGAAACTTTGCTATTTAGAGGAGTTTTGGGGTTTTAATGTCTACCAATGGTTACAAGTAGTCCTTTCCGTCATATCTGATGCTTGCGTAATATTCTCAACTGTGGAACAATGCCCTTAACATATTATCCCTTATGGCAGTCATGGTAACGGTAATAAAAAAAAACGTATTGTGTATCGCATGCGAAGATTGTGCGCCTTACGAGACACCTTGCTTCTACTCAGGTCGTCAACCGCAGTCCCCGGCAGCCATGTGCAAGGCCACTGACGTCGACAGCTCTCTCACCTCAATAACGAGCCCAGGCGGCGGCGGCGGCTTGGCCGACGGCAACATGAACGGCAAGTCCAGGTTCTCCTGGCCGGTACCCATGTAGCAGAAGCCGTACTCGGTGCTGTTGAGTCGGTGATAAAAGACGGAGCCGGGCCACGTCAGGTTGCGTATCACCACCACCCGCCCGCTACAGCAGCGGTTCACCACCCACGACGCTGTAAGAAGGAAGCCAGTCATCAGCGACTGGTAGGGCGGAACGAGCCAGGAAAGACTCCTGTGCACTATGAACTCACAGCAAAGCAATGGGAAGGGTGGTCGATACAACCCCTTCGGTTTCCAAACAAAGAAAGATAGAGCTTAGCAAAAAAACACCAGTGGCATAATCTCAACGATGTATCACCATTAGTAACAATTTTTTATTGCTTGATCAACAACTGGCCCATTATGCCAGGTCAAAGGTCGAATTTTCCCAAATCGCTCTTTTCAGCTTCACAACTACATACATAAGAAGCCATGTCTTATATGGACAAAAAATCTGAATGCGTATGTTCCTTGTTCAGTTTTAAGTACATGTGTGTACATCTTTACGTGTTTTGGCTAAGCATTCATAATGCATGGCCTCGTTAACAATCCGGCCCGTCGCGCGCATCCCGCGGCACTGTCGATTGTCGACCGCCACCCACGCCGGCGGCACATCGCATTGAAGCGTTCCTCAAAAACCGTCGCTGCTCCGAAACCAGGGAACCGTGGGCACGTTTGTTGTCAAAACACGCAGTGGATGCCCGATAGGCTACTGAAAATTTGAGCGCGATTGCATATGCTGAAGAGGTATCCTAAAAAACCTTAGGGGACCGCACAGACCTCCCTATCACGGCGATAGTTAACCACAACACTACCGCTATCCCTCCCACCACTGAATGAGATGGCTGATTGGCGTAGAAAAGTCACAGTTCCGGCCGTACACAGGGGCCAGACTGCACCTGCCTTTAAAGCAGTCCTGGCCGAGTGGCTCGAGGAAGTCGATGGTCAGGTCGGCGTCAGCGGCCGTCCTGCGCACCGGATCCTGGGTCGGTACGCGCAGGTGCAGGTACGACTCCAGCTGGTCACCCTCCACCGGCCGCAGGCCTGCCGTCGGCAGCGCACACCGCAACAGATCAGGCGCAGGCGCAGGTGTGGGATGCACGTGGAGCACAAGAGCGTGTAGTGGTTTAGTGGCGTGGGCTTTCGCAGGCTGCTTTTAGCCGTGGCGGAATGAGCTTTTGCTTTCTTTTATTCCCACGTCGCCAGCTCCAAACGCTCACAGGCATGGACGCTTCGTTAAACAACATGTCTAACCCGGGTACGACGCAGGCTGATCCACGATGACATTTCTCAACGGCGTAGTACTTCTATGTGCTCATCGTGTGCTAAGCTTGGTGCTCCTGATTTATGTTATCAACTACAAAGGCCAGACGGGGCCTGAATAAGCATGGGGAGTTTTACCCAGCCCAATGAAACTGAAATCCAGCTAAGTCAACGACAGCTCTCCTACGGCACGGGCACTGCACCTGCGAAGGACGGGTTTCGAATGACGGCTCCACTCGGAGTGTACAGCAGCGCCTTCCTCGGCACGATGGCGATCTCGTGGAAAAGCTTGTGCACCACGTACGCCAGCCGGTCCTCCTCTTTCACCACCGGCTGTCGGGGAGCAGTAATCAGGCGGCGCTCAGCATGCGTCGTCGCGTTCGAAAACGTTTGGAGGAATTGCTCTGCGATCGCATGCGGGCTATTAAGTTTGTGAGCGTGGCGAGTCTCACAATGATTTCTCGTGGTCAGGAAAGCAGTTGAAAATTGAAGTCATCCAAAGTGGTTAAAGCCATTAAGCGCTTTCTGGCAACAAAGTCTAAACCGCCAGGAAACGGCCAACCGATTAGTATCATCTATGCACATTGCCCACAAGTAAATCTCTTCCGACGAGTCAGTCAACCTCACGGAGCTGGATGAAGTCAGACTTGAGAGAAGCGCCTCAGCGCAAGTCCCTTGCATCGGTGGCTCGCCTCATACCGAGTGGGTTGTTGATGCCTCCTCCGCGTCCTCGTGGGCGTCACCAGACCCCGGATCATAATCATGCGCAGGGTCCCCCGTCAAGCGCCCCTTGAGCTTGCTGGCCGCGTCCACAAGCTTGGGGTTGCAGTCCTGCAGCAGGCTCCAGTGCATGCCGTCCGTGCTGATGAAGGAGTGTGGCAGACCAGCGGCATAAGGACACAGTTGTGGTGCGCCACTGGACGCCATCCGTGATCGATGGCAAAAGAATGGTTCACTCGCCAAAGGACACGTCAGCGGTGGACTAGTTCGCGTCGTTGGTGATGACGCAAGAAAACGGCGGATGCTTGTCCGGGCTTTTCATGATGAAGAAGGACAGAGCCAACGATATTTTTAGGCACAATCGTTCCATGCTCAGGCATATCAGTGAGTGCCGTCCGTGCTGAAGATAAAAAAACGATCGCTTGGACGCTTCATGAGAGCACAAATTATAAAATTGAAGCAATGGGTTAAAAAATATCAGTGACACCCAATTCATGGGGCTACAAAACCAGCCGCAAATACTGCACTGTGTAGATGTTGTAGATTAGGGAGGCGCGTTCGGGATCACACGTCAAGCGTACCTGTAGAAAAATTTCAGATCCATTAGAAAGTCTTCACCAACGGACTGGGCCAGAAAGTAATCGCCATCCAGACCCAGCAGGCAGCCCAGGAACCTCATCTCCTTGGCCTTGTTGTCCGCCTGCAGCTTGGCGAGGGAATTTCCGAGCATCGCTCTTTGCTCTACGTTGACGGAGAACCCCGTATAATCACTGGTAATTTCGATTGGTGTCAGGGCGCCGACGTCCATGGTGGTTTGTGTCTATGAACTGGACGACGTGTATGAGTCTGCAAGTCTTCTTTTTCACAGGTCTAAATGCGAGAGTTGAATGTCACAGCATTTAAAATGGATGACCTAGACCATGGCATACCCAACTACGTTTACTGGGTTATCCAACGTTACTCTATCTGCAACTTCTGGAAAAGGAACAACATTTTTTACCCGCACGCGTAGTTTTGAGCTAAGGGTCTTTGAAGTACGTAATAGGCTACGCCAACGTCCATTTAGTAATTGTTTGCAGACAAAAATTTATCCCCCATTCGCGCGAAGCTGCTTTCAGGCCCACGATGTAAAACGGTTATGTACAATGCAGCGGAGATATGTCGCGACATGCCACTCAGACGGGTACCGTGCGGGAAAAAGGATCACGATGATTTCATTGCAACAACACCTCGCGTAATTGATACCGCATTGCGTGACAGATTAGGGTCTACGTAAGGGTAATGGGCGTTCGTGCCATCCTCAGTACCTTGGTTTACCCGCATTTGCACATTACGGGCGAAATCTGTCAGTCAAACTTAATGGGAATACAAAAACGACGACATTGCTCTAAGTCGAGAGCCCAACTTTCCAGTGTTGCACACCGCAGGCCTGCTCTACCATGCGCTATTTTACCTCAAGCTCGCACCACGCCCATATTAAGTACCGATGCCATCGTGCTCTTTCAATCTGTGCTCTTTCAACCATTCGTAAACCGACTGAGGAGTTGTGCGAGTGGGTAAAACCATGTCCTCGATGCGTCCAATTCCAGCGGGTGTCCTGGCCGCTGCGTTTCAGCGACAGGCCCACAGGTGTTGGTCAGGTGTTGGCAAGGAGCCCATCAAGGCCGCATAAGAGACATTGATCAGAAAAGTACACGATGCACTGCATTCGAACCTAGATCTCTTCAGATCCTAGATCACCAGACGCCAATTCTAACCCGTCATTCATGAGCTGGGTTGAGCAGGCGCGTAGAG